TCCCTCCCTCGGCCATCATATCATGTGACTTATCAACAGAGACGTCTCACTCTCCTGTCTTCTCTCCTCCGGTTCTTTCCCTCCCTTTGCTGCTTCTCTCCTGGCTCATGGCTGACTTTTCGCACTCATCATTAAACTGACGGACAAGACAAGCAGAGGGGGAGGGATGGGGCAGAAATTAATCTCAGCTACATTTGAACCATACCTATGCTACATGAACCACAGCTGTACGTTTAGAAAGCAGGAAGAAGGGTGGTTGATACTCTGTGGGGAATTGTAATATGCATGGGAGTGACTGAGGAGAAGAGTGACCTTTTTACCAGATCTTCTTTCCCACTCATCTCATCTCAGTTGTTTTCATTCGTCTTCACTAAATTGAGGAAGGGGAGAGAAAGAATGAAAGAGAGAGAGAGAGTTACTTCTCAACCAGAAGGTCATAGCTCTTTTTGATAGCCTTTTGTCTCCCATCCAAAAACAGCACTGTTAATAGCTGCCCATAGGCCACTTTATAATGATTGAGCCTTATCTGTAGACACTCACAGTCACGCGCAGACAGCACACAGTGGGGGAATTGAGCTTTTAGGAGAAAGAGCTATACAGCCATGGCTGCTATTAATCCCATTTAAAGCTCTGATACATGGGCCATTGGTATGCATTCCTGCATTCTCTCCTAACATGTTAGCCCACACTATATTAATTGTCTTTTTATTGCTTTTGGAACATTATTAAAAAATACTATATATTGTTGATCAAGATTTGAAGTCATAAGGCTGTCCACCTGGTACTGATGTCTCTAGAAACATGTTCCTGTCTTCTAGCCGAGCATTTGATTACACACACACATGTAGAAGGTGCCATTATGAAAATGTAATTCAGCAATTTAGTGATAGTGCTTCCAAATCAACATTTAAAAAATGTTTTTAATTAGCTTCATTATCTTTACATTTCAGTAGTTTGAGGGTAGGATTTTATGTTGGAGAATGTGGTTTATCCTTTTTGATTTCTTGAAATGTTTCTTCAGTTTAAGTTTTCAAACACAGCTGTGTGTTGAGATACAAAAGCAGAAGATGGAGAGAGCTGTAACAATGTATTTCTGGCGGTGCAGCTGTTGATTAGAATAACTTGCCTAATGAGATAAATGCTGGGGTGTCAGTTAAGTAACTATTGCTCACTAAGCTACATGCTTTAGTTAGCCTTTTATATCAGAGAGACCTAAATGCACACCAGACACCTCTGTGTATGTACCTGCAAAGGGCAGGGACTCTGTGTGGGTGGAGTCAGGACCCAGTTCATAATGCCTTAGGTCTACAGTTGCCATAGAGACCTCTGTGGGCGCTGCTTTTTGTCTCCTGTTCATTCCTGAGAAGGAGGTGGTGACACACACAAAACACATACACGACTTAGTGGAATCGTACGTGCGTTATGATAGAAACCCACAGAGGAAGTGGAAAGAGCACCAGCCAACTCCCAACTCATCATGGATCTATACAACTGTAGTCTGTGCACATACCAAGGTAAAATACACTACTACACAAAACACAATTCTTTTAGCAATTAGACACAAGCTAACTTAACTTGTATGAAAAGAATATCCATTGAAATCAATTTTGACGATGTAAAGTTTATCAACTTTATATCACGATCCAGCCTCAGCATTTTAGCGAGTTCTTGGTTCGAAGCATGTAACATTTCAAAGCGAGGGTAGAGAAGATAAAAGGCCTCCAGCAGAGAAACAGCTTGGTTGTCGTTTTTAAATGTATAGCAGGAGAAGAAAACGACTGCTCGTCTAAATGTACTTCGCTAAGTGCATAATCATACAGCTGTTATGCAAGCATTAAGCTTTTAGCAGCTTTGTGGCACAGTCAATCATCAATCAATCAATCAATGTTTATTTATATAGCCCAATATCACAAATGTTACATTTGTCTCAGTGGACACAGGTAGTTATATGAGACGCCTTTATGTCCATATGTGTTTTAATATTTATAATTAACACCAATTCATCTTGGCATACAAAGCTGAATTCCCTTTTTATACTTATTTTTCATTCCAATTACATTCACATTGTGTCAGAAACTGTTGCAGTAAATGCCAAGCTTACTTACAATAATTCTTCACAAAACCAGCACATATTAATTTCCTTTTCATCCATCTGTAGATTTTCTATGTGTCAGGTGGCTTTTACTGCGCTTCATCATTTTCAGACAGAGTGAGAAAGCTTTTACTTATTCAAATTATTCAGCTGGCAGATGTGTGCTGAAACGTCTGAGACTTAATGATAAGTTCCTTACAGTATATATTTTTTTAAAGATGACTAGTATAGTTGTTATGGCAGTGTTGCTGACTGTTCTGACACTGTGTTGGAGAAGCTGTTTTTGCCTGAAGTGAATGCTGCTCAAACAACAAAGTTTTACAGTAGTATGCAAAGATAACTGAACAAAGCATCTTCTGTTCCGACATATTCTGCATGAGGTCCATGATGTTTCAAATGTCCACTTTTGCTGTTGTGTGGTTTCAGTCAGTTAAACTCTCTCATCTGGCAAACATACTGCTACTATCCCTTGGCTATTCATGAAGGTGCTTTTAAAAATCTTTGTCAGTAGCATTTCATCCTCAAAGACATCATTGATCGTAACATATCAACAGCATACCGGTTCCTAAGGCAGAGGGTTCGAATTCATAAAATGTGTGACAAGGTTATGCATAATTTAACACATTTTACCCCAAGACAGAACTGGCCAAACAGTTTTCTGGTTTTTCATCCAAGCATTTCCATGTGATCTAAAAAGGCGTTTAATATGCTTTACTGTTGAGACATTATATATCATTAATTAGCATAATGCTGCCTTTGGTGCAGGGATTTACATTTTTACACCGTGAGGATTTAAAACCATTGCAGCCGTGCTAAACAAGGTGACAAAGCAGTCTGCTGTGGGGAGCAGAGAAGGACTTTGAAGCGAAGCGCCTCGCTGTAAAACAAAACTGTGAGTTACTGGTCCAGAGGGTTAAATAGACCCTGCTCAAATTCCCAGCATCACTTTGCTTTGCAAATGATAGGGCTGGCTTAACCTGCTACTTTGTTATTCACATGTACGAGGTGTATCTTGTTGCAGGAATGGAGAGAAGATTGAACAAATGAGATGGGTTTTTCCTGTCTAGTAGTGCATTGGCACAAATTATACTTATTAACAATCTTTTTCTGAACTTACAGCATATGAGCAGTGTGCTGAAGCATTTTCATATACCCAGATAAAGGAACTTCCTACTGGGAGATCAATGTACTATCACTGCTAGTACTACATATGAATGTGTTGGGGGCTTGCTTTTTGGCACTGAAGTGAATGCTTGTGAGTGTGTATGTGAGAGGAAGAGAGAGGAAAAGGGAGACGGCAGGGACACAATGTGGTTACAAGAGGAAAACAGGGAAAGAGGAAAAGAGTGTGCATATTTATGAGTAAGTGGCTGCTGTAAGCGTGCGTGAAAAAGGGGTGAGTGCGAGAGAGGGAGATGAATTGCATTGTGCACTGTAGTGTTGGGGAGGAAAGGGGATTGAGGTTGGAGACTTGAGATAGCGACTCAACACATTCAGAGCTTCAAATGGCTTTGAGAAAACCAATCAAACCAGCATACACTCTCTGAACCTCGCACACACATGCACTCTGTCTATATCTTCAGTGGGGTGAGTTCACTGCACTATTGATCTGCGTCCATGTGGCTGTGATTAACTTGAATGCAACACGCGCACACATGCATGCACACACTTACACACAGTGATTGCTGCTTTCAAATCTCATCTGTCTGGCTCATAGCTAAATGACTGATATGGATCTGTCAGTAAATAGCTAATGCATCAGCATACACACAAACAGGATCGGGTTAAGAGTGATGCATTCAGGGGTAATCTACCATGCATGCAGCCTCAGCTCCCAGCAGAGTGTTGGCATGGGTGAAACCTGACAGGAACATGCAACCCGCCAGACTGTGGCGTGGCCGCACATCAAATCACTTGAGGCTGCGTGTAGACAGAAAGAAGAAGCGAGTAAAAAACAACAACACAAGCATCTACTTTGAGGAATCCCTGAAGTCCTTTTTTATGTTCATGAGGTTGAGTGCTTATCGGATATATGTTTATAATACCATGTGATCGGTCTTCACAATTCTGCAAAACTATCTCAGTAATGGCAATAGACATGTCTTCCCCATTGTCAACAACGCTGAGGTACACGACGGAGGAGTGGTGATGTACACCGTACAGTTAGTTTGTATTATTCTTATTCCTCACACCTAGTCCACTATTACCAGCCAGTAAATATGTCATCATTTTGTCAACAAAGGGCTCCTGTTATCATTTACCCTGTAGAGAAAAATGCACTTAAAACCATTGTGATCTACTTTTTAAGATTGTGTTTTTAAAATGTTAGAATTTATTAATAAATAAAGGGAAAAATGTCCCACTGTTATTAATTGTTAGCTATATTAACGGTTTGTCACCCAGTTTCAGGGGGAGTGCTTTAACTACTCAAGTTGACAACCATCACGCAACACACAGCAGTTACGATTAAAGAGCTTCTTAGAACGCGTTCAACAAGTCACTCTGCCTCACCCCTTTTCCTACCTGTCAATCACACTCGTGTTAATGATCACACTTCAGTTTTAACTGTCACGGCAAAGCTGTCTTCCATCCCTAGGCTGTTTCCGTGACCTGCGGCTGACAATGTTTCACTTCTCCCCACGACAAGTAGGCAGCAGTCCCAAAGCAGCTTATTATTCACTTCAAAATACTGTTCGTATACTGTCAAGTTTGCTTGAAAGGTTACTTATCATACATTGACATTGAAAAGGGATATCTATTGTTTTAATAGCTTTATACTCATACCCTTTCCCACTGATAGACAATCAGTTGGGAATTATAATTTAGTTTTAGTTTTAGTAAATATATACAGAGCTTCCTGGCTTCCTGCTCTTTCTAACACACACTTTGTCTTTCTCTATCTCTTCAGGAGCTTCAGTTTGAACGCCTGACCAGGGAACTTGAGGCTGAGCGTCAGATTGTCGCCACACAGCTGGAGCGATGCAAGCTGGGATCAGAGGCTGACAGCATGAGCAGCATCAGGTAACATGCAAACCCTTTTCCTCTGTGTGGATGGTGGGGAGGGAAATGAGGTAACACAAGCTCCACATCTTTTATGTGTTGTGGTTGTGCTGTTGTGTAGAAACTGTCTGTGCTTGTGTGTGTGTCCCTAAACATGTTCAGGTAAACCATACATTCTGTCTGTTTATGAGAATGTGGGGGGTAATAATGTCCCCTCTTTTATAAAACATACAAAAGATTGTGAAACATTTTTCTCTTAGGTCTGTATGTATGTCAGTGTGCACCCCCCCATCCCCCAACTGCCCTCACAAGTGTATGTGGTAGCATGATGGAAACGGTTCTGGGTCCTTTACGACACCAACGCTGACTGCACCATTATATGCCCCCACACACACACACACACACACACACACACACACACACACACACACACACACACACACACACACACACACACACACACACACACACACACACACACACCACACACACACACACACACACACACACACACACACACACACACACACACACACACACACACACACACACACACACACACACACACACACACACACACACACACACACCCTGGGTGTTTTCTCCCCAGATCTGTGGATTGATGCTTCTGTAAAAGAACAGTGTTCCCCCTGCTGTGGGGTGCATTTATCAGCTGGATGGATTAGGACAACACTGTGGTTGCAGGCAAAATCACACACACAGATAAGCACACTCACACACAAGTACACATACACAGCGATGGTCTTGCATGGGGGAGCTTTACACACATACTGTACAGACAGACGCATGACATAACGATATGAGAATATGATAACACTTGACAAACATACACACTCACATACAGCACTGTCACACCATGATACGTTCCTGAGGGCTTGATACAACAGATACATCAACACAAGCCTCAGCAACACTGGTGAGGGTGTGACAGCACACACCTTCACCCACACATTTATGATCACAAAAAGTCCTCTTAGAGTCTTTGCTTTGCAAGAGAGAATTAGGTCAGGCCTCAGTATTACACTGCTTGGAACCCCTTTCATCATATTACAGCATAATTAGCATATTAACCGCAGCCCTGAAACCCTTCAAAATACTTAATTATGTCCCCCAATTAAAGACTGACCTTTCTATTGCAAAATAATTTTCTGATGAAGGGAAGAGAGCTCTTAACAGGAAAAGGGAGCAACGATGAAGGATTGATGGAGGAGAGGAGATGTATGCAAATAGTATGCTAATTTTGCATTTCATGCTAACAGCTCAAACCTTCAGTGCAACATCTACCCTTCTCATACTAAATATCTATCCCTCCACATTTTCCTTCACACAGGCTGTTCCTCCCTGTAAATACAAATCATTAGTGAAACTAAAGTTTGGTAGAAAGTTTGGTGTATGTGCATGCATTTTGTTTTTGCATTCATTTTTGCTGTGATGTCAAAGAGTCAGGTTGATATAAATTCAGCATCACTTTGACTCCCTCAGGCAGCTTATTGAATGAGTACAGAACCCTGAGGGGGGCAGGGAACTGGAGCACACTGGGAAAAAAAGACATTTTTGAACTTTTCCTGTTCATTCTGTTTGCAGCTGAGTCTCAGATGAGACTTTCTGGTGAAACTTTTATAGCCTTCCTTCCTTGGTTTGTGTTAACATGTCCTTATTTGCTAATAAACCTGGAGACTGATTAAAAAATAACCCAAACACCAACTTCAAAGACAAAGTAATTGCGTTTTCAAGATTTACAGTACTGAGATATTGGCAAAGTGACCTTAGAGAGATGATCTTTTAAATACATTCTGTATTTTGTATTCACTTTTGGGAATATATTGAATCCCATTTTTTATGAAATGTGTTTTGGATGAACTTATTGTTATTTAAATAGATGGCTATAAAACAAGTGTTTTAAAAACTAGGGTTCCAGTCTTATTTATACAAATATATCTATCTATCAATCTACTATCTACATATTTATGTATTTGAATTACGTTTACCAAAGTGTCATCTCACTTTTTACTCTGTTCTTTCTTGTTATTCTTGACAAGATTTGTTTGGCTTATTAACCAAAAGGGAGATAAGAAAACAAATATGCAAGAGTCTGTCTGTGGTATAGATATTAGGAAAGCTTGTCTGGAGCTTTTTAGATAATGTGTGGCTTTCTTTTTTATATTATACAAAAATATTAGTTTGTACTGGCAAAATGATCTGTAAGTCCTCAGCATGTGTAACACGTGTGTGAATGTAGCACTTTATCATATTTTTTTGAACTTTTGCAGTTGTTTTGGTGTATTGCTTAATGCCTGTGAGAATATCTTGTGTTGTGCATATGTGCCTGTGCCTGCAATACACTGTGTGCTGTGAAGTGTGCTTTCTCATAGTTGCATCATCTAATGATTATCACATCAGATAGAGAGGATTGGCTTAGCTAAGCTTTTATCTGCTGACAGCTCACTATATGAATCCACATCCATCCCTCTGTGCGCTCAAATTTGTCAATGCTTGTCAACTGAACCAAGTGATGTGCATTTGTTTTCCCTTTTGTGCTGGCATACACATGTGACAGCTCACCTCTGAGTTAACCCATTTTTATATTTTATTTGACTTTGATTGACACCATCTCTATTCAAATTTAAACGCAGCCTGTTTTTCCTTTTTTACTCAAAGCCTAAGTATAGCTATTAGTGTGTGCAATATAACTGTGAATGATCAGAGAGAGTGTGATGCTATTCAAAGCGACAGCGATAACCTTTCCCATGGTCTCCACATCACCACTCATTGTCCTCTTCTTCATCAGTGTCTCAGTGACAGGCAGAAGCTATATATAGAGTGTGGTGACTGGCTCTGAGTGAAAAGGTGTTATAATGAAGCACAAGGTAAAACATCTAAAAAGGAAGACATGGTAGCTGGATTGGGAACACTAAAAGAGTTCAAAAGAGACTAGGGGTCTTTTATTTTTTTTATATAGCATTTTTGGACATTTCACGAAAAGCTACTCTTGTCTTATCTTTCTAAAGTTGTGTATCCTCCTTAATGACAGTCTTTAGTCTCTTAGACAGGATTGTCTGTGGGCTTCAAGCGGCAGCCAACATTTTCACTCAGCAGTGGGTCCATTACTCTGTCCGGGTGAAAGCCAACTCACAAGCACAAACTACTGTACCTGGTACCCTGCTACCCTGCTTTTTCCTGTGTTGGTTTTGTGTAGTAATTTTCCAGATATGTGGGTACACTCTTTTTTTGTGGGTTTCTGTTGCATGCTTGGAGCGATGGCTGTGTTTGTGTTTGCGTGTCTGTGTGTTCTTGGCAGCCGCTGCGAGCCTGTGTGTCCTTAGTTGTGTTCCGCTCGATAAAGCAATTCAGGCATCTCTACGGACTCCTCCTCAGAGCTGAGGACCCTACAAAATGCCTGACTGTGGTGCAGAAACCCAGGGCATTACTGACTAACATCTGTTCACACTGTGAACCGTTGGCATGCAACACAACACTTTACAGGAAGGAAACTCACACTGGCACACTTGCACATTCGCATTTCACACACAAATACGTAGACTCCAACACCATGCCGAGACTCATTTATCATTTTTCTAACATTAGTGGTAAGTGGCAGCCAGCGGGAAACATTTGCTCCTGCTGTCTTTTCTGCCTCACCGGCAGTGCAGCTCAAGCCTTCAGTGCTCTTTTAAAGGAGTATAGTACTTAATTTATTTTTGATGAATTTCACTTAGTATTCATCCATTTTTCACCATCTATGGCAATGCCAAGACCAAAAACAATACAGCACAAGCTGCATAAGTCTTCCCTGCTAATGGAAGTCGTTTCACCAGGATTAGTAGCTGTATGTAGAGGAAGGAGATTTCATTATAATAATTAATAATCACATGTCATTTGCCTGTGATGAACAGTATACTTTAGCTGGATTTAGAGGGAAAAGTTCACATGGAGTCTGGAGATACCAAGATGTTTGAGTTTTACATTGCATAGAAGAATGGTTAAAAACTACAGCTAATGTTTTCCATACGATGTTATTCCAAAATCTCCAGGATGTTAGATTTGTAGAGTTTGTAACCTCCTGGTCGGACTCTTGGCGATGGTCTGGGTCAACCTTCGCTAATATGGCAGTGACCATCAGATAGCAGGATGTGTTATATGTGCCTCTCCAGGGTTTTTGCAGTTCACTGATATGTAAGGCCGATAAAATTACAATTCTTCTACGCATTCAGATCATTAAAGGTCCTGGAGTTGTTTTCTGCCTTGCAGTGACCTTGCTAGGCATTCTGGGATACATTATTGGTGCAGTAAAGCACTGCCCGTGAACTGTTGAGGAAATGATGTGAAGCGGGCTGCAAAGCTAATCGTGACTCGGGGCAATAGATTATTAAGGCCATATATGGGATGTCACGTAAGCTTATGGATTCACTGGCCAAAATGAATCGTGTTGTTTTCATATTCCACTGGCTACTGGAAAATATAGTACCAGCTTTGTGTCTTGTGGCTAGTGTTATAGAGTATTTTTGCATATATGATATGATAGATGACGAAATGTGGATATTACAGCAATCAGTTATGCTTCAGAGCAAATATTTCACAGTGAGAATGAGACAGTGTGCAGTTCTTTTAAAGCCATGTCATTAAAGAAAAAGGGAGTAGCAAGCCAATCATGATTCGCCAATTATTTGAAAGCAGAAAGGTCATGTCAGATAATAGGAATCCCGGCAGGCAGCCCCTCAGTTTGCATGCAGAAGACGAGCAAAGTTGAGCGAAACAAATGTGACCTCTAAATGAGCGTTTTGTTGTGCTTAATGGAATTGTTAGCGTTTAGTGGAGGGAGACGAGAGTATCAATCCTGGGGGCGGGGGGAAAGCATCATAGAAAGAGTGGATGAAAGAAAGAGAGAGGAAGGACATAGAGAGGAGGCAGAGAAATGGATGTATGGCTAATAAATAGCTTTCATTACCCTGTGGCAGCCACAGAATAGGTTCATTGATTTATTAGTTTCCTCTTCTCTCTCC